AGACCTCTATATCCTTTGGTGCATCCAGCAGTTTTAGTGGAAACTTATGAAGATGGTGAAAATATCTTGCGCTACATTGAAGAGCTTGAAGAACGNGGCTACCTTGAGATTTCGATATCCTAGACAACGGGTTAAACCCATTCGTGTGGCCGTCAAAGTTAGGCACCCAGGCGTTGGTGAATCTATTAGAAGGGATTTCATATTAATTAACTTCTTTGCAAAAGTTTCGAAGGTCTTCCCGAATTTGAAGTGGTTAAGACTGGATGAAAGCATACAGCAGTTTGCGGTCTTTATGATGTCTCAAGTTGATCTTTCTAGGGAAGCAGCTAACTTAAGTCGGTTCATATACAACTTCCGCAGATGGAAGGATGTATCATTTCCCAGACCTCTATATCCTTTGGTGCATCCAGCAGTTTTAGTGGAAACTTATGAAGATGGTGAAAATATCTTGCGCTACATTGAAGAGCTTGAAGAACGTATTAAAGAGCTCGACGGACGTGAGAGTGTCAGAAGTGCCCTTGCGCACATTGGGACTCATGCACTACTAAAGATGATGTTGGTATGTCTGTGTAATTTTAGCCGTTCCGGAAAAGTCAAAGCTTGGTTATCATCACCACAAGTAATTCAAGAAGGAATATGACAATAGAAACTTCAACTGAAAGTAACTACTTAAGTACATGAGTAAAAATGGGTTCCTAAGACAAGGGAGGATATCCTAATGGAAAGAACCATTCACCTCCAATATTGAAGTTCGGTGATAGAGGGACCATTGTCGACTCCTGTGCAAGGGCACTAGTTGGGGTTGGGGCTTAACATACCAATAGGGAAAAAAGGGTTGCTTTATCAGGCCATCATGTGGGATTTCTTAGCGTTATCTCTGAATTGCATTAATAAATACCTAAATCAACTTCCGATAAAAAATAAATACCTAAATCAACTTTGCATGTTGCTACTCGAATTTCTGCAATGGTAATAATGCGTAAAACACTCTGGGTTAGTGACCAAGGTTATCAAACATGCCGAGTAGGTTGCTGAAGGCAGTTTTTTAGAAAAAGTGGAGAACTTCCTTTATTTGAACAAGTCTGTATTGGCTGTTTCGTTCTTTTCTTCTATTTTTGAGTAAGAAGGCTGTAAGCTGTCAAACTAGTCTTTCTTAGTTATAGTCTTCAAGTTGAGATTGTGTATTCTTTTCTCCTTTTCGTTAGGGTGAGGGGGAAATGCTATTCCATTGGAATATTGCAGTTCTTTATTTCTGCAACATATTCACTAAATTTATTTCTGCGCTCTTTTTTGATACTATACTCTTTAATTCCAGGTGGACAATTTCATACATGCAGACATGCATCCTGGGAACATTCTTGTTAGAACACCGCAAGACAGAGCTTCAGGTAAAGGACTTTTCAAATCGAGGCCTCATGTGGTCTTCCTAGATGTGGGTATGACTGCTGAGCTATCTAATAAGGATCGACTCCTTCTGCTGGAGTTCTTTAAGGCTGTGGCACTACGAGATGGCCGCTCTGCCGCAGAATGTACTCTTGGACTATCTAAACAACAGAGCTGTCCGAACCCGGAGGAATTCATCAAGGTGCTTTCCTAGCCTTCTAACAACTGTTGTCAAAGAATGATGAAGCTCAAAACTGTAGAGTCTGGCAGACTATTGATCGTTAGATTCTCAGGAGTCAATTCAATGTCCAAGAAGGAAAAACTAAATAGACGTATTAATTCGCATCTTGCATTTTGGTTTAACTTCAGTTCAAGCACAGTGCATATAGTACATTATGAGTCTTTCGGGGATAATAAAGGAAAGAATTAAAAAGCAAAAGCTCCCTCTCATCTTGTCTTAGGGCCATACATCAGTATGTTAAATAAACTTACAAATTAGTTCATTCTTCTAAAAGTTTGTCTTCCTTATACGGGTGTGCTACAACATCATCGATGTATGGACAAATATTTTGATGCAGCATGTATATATGCCAATTTGTTATTTATTCGGCATATACACTACCCTCCCTAGACCTCACTTGTGGGAACTCACTGGGTTTGTTGTTGTTGTTACAAAAAATAAAAATTATTGGAAGTATCCTTAAAAAAAAAGAAAAGAGATGCACAATATATAAGCAAAAGATATCCCATGTGAAACTGCTTTATGATGTTTTCTTATGAGTTGCTTGTGTGAAATATGAGAATCTATTTTAAATACCTTTTGTTTCACCTATTTCTTTCTGATGAATACTAGTAATACACATTGTTGTAGTCTCCTTAGTAATACACAATTTTTATAGATTCATGTCCTTGTTGAATAACAAATGAATGTACACTTTGGTAATAGGAAGTGGAGGGAACTTTTGACTTTTGGAGAACACCTGAAGGGGGTGGCATCCATCCGGCGGATTGCATGCAACAATTGCTTGAGCAAGTTAGACGTCATCGGGTGAATATTGATGGCAACATTTGCACTGTGATTGTGACTACTTTGGTGTTGGAGGTACCTTATGGCCTTATTGGATGTTTTTACCCTCTGATAACTCTGCACAGCGTAGACTCGTCTGCTGTATTCTTAAGTTAATTTATCCTTTTCTATGGTTCTTATTATCTGCTATGTGTGTTGGGGAAGTCAGCATCTATGGTTCTCAAGTATGATTTGCTCAAACATCTGCACAACGCGATTATTGACATTCAATTATCAAAAAGCTAGCAAAAGTAATTGTACCATATTGCACCAAAGGGTGTAGCAAGTGGGTGGAGAGCCATGACCCTGAGACAAAAAATTAGGTTATTTCTTTCCATCTGTTTAACCCTTGATGGACAGAGTCACCTAGACCTGTGCTGGTGGGAGGTAGTAGGTACCCGATGGAGTTAGTCGAGGTGCGCGCAAGCTAGTCCGGACACTACTATTATAGAAAAAAAGGAGTAACTGTGCCATACTACATCTTTATTATGATAAGCCCAACCTTGTAAGATGCTTTAGGATAAAACAGTATTGTACAACTTGTGGTAATTGAGCTGGGTTCATATAGGCTCTTGGAATTGTTGTAATTACAACAGAAGTGCATATTTTGTGAAGTGAAAGCCGCTGAGCCATGAATGATGGTTTCCAAAAAATAATTTAGTTTCTATCTGTTATCTTTAATCTCGTTTTCTTTAACTTATCTGCTTTTCTTCCTAGATGCTTTTCTTTCCATGCCTTGTGCCATATAATTTCTTTTTTCCCTCTATTTTTCTTCCAGATACCAATAGAAGGAAAAGCTTAGCATAATATGTCTATTACTTGTTGGAATGTATTACATTATGCTTGTCTATCTTCCTACAGGGATGGCAGCGAAAACTGGATCCGGAATACGATGTGCTGCAGACATTGCAAAAGTTGCTTTTCAAAGAAGACTGGGCGGAGTCTCTCTTTCACACAATTGGAGGACTGATGGCCCCTTAAAAAGGTCTCATTTGCTTGCTTCTGCTCCCGACCCCAATGTAGGGGAAACGATTCCACAATTTTGATGGAGTAATATCTCGTAAAGGAAAGATAATATACACAACATCTGGTATTATAAGAGAATAAGGATGAAATGCCTTTTTAAAAAAAATTGAGATTAGTTTAGCTCTAACCTTGAATTCTTATTAAAAATTGTTTCTTATTCTTGATCACTGTGTGAGATAATAAATATCAAGAATGTATTGATGAGAGGCTTTGGATTGACGCCGTATGTCTCATGGTAGACTGATGCATCCAATTCCGTGATCAAACCCGTGGAAATGTGAGGGAAATTTTGTAATCCAACTTTTACTTCCCCAATGATTGTGTAGTAAGTACTTTCGTAGCGATCTGAAGATTCTGCGACAAATCTCAACTCTTCTTTTGATTCTATTTGCAATGGTTAATACCTTCTCTTACGGGTAATGTTGTCTCTTATGGAACTTATATTCAACTAGTTGAGGAGTAGTTTTATGAACTGTTCAGCTATGCAACGTGGGATGGGGAAGATCCTTCTGATGTGTAATGGGTAATGCCTCCTCCTATGGGTAATATTGTATCCATTGAGGACATTATATTCAATATAATTTGGTATATTGCTTGACTAGTTGATGAGTAGTTTTATGAACATTCAACTGTGAAACATGGGGAAGATCCTTCTGAAGTGTTTTGACATGGCCATGAACCTGTGCTTGTCGTCTGATCGTGGGTAATGGTTAATTTGTCACTGGAGAGGATTGCATATTTTTCCATTGATTGGATTGGGCATGAAATAACAGACTCGAGGTGCAACACATGATGTGTGGGCTTGGTGCACGTTACAGGTTCAAATTCTGCCTCAAACTAAAGTCTTGTATTCAACTTGAGAAGGATAGATATGTGAGTTCATTATCCATCGAGTTTTGAACCATGATTTGCTAACCCTACAGAAAAAGATGTTAAACTCGAGGTCTGAACTTATGAGGTACACAACAGAAGAGTGTGGGACTGTTTAGGGTAAACTAACTATTTCTTCAGAGCGCTGAAACATGATTGAGTGCAGCGTAGATGAAAACTGTCTGAAATGAATAATAATGCAGCATCAGTATCTGCAGAAATTCGACATTTTCATCAACGCTGCACTCAATGATATTTCTAAGCACTCTGCATAGCTACTCCTTCCTAGCTTTCTGTATGACTTATTTTCATTAGTTGGTTAATATAGGAATCGAATCATCGATAGTACATTAGAGCTTTCAAGTAGTACATTTTGAACTACCAGTTCTCTATTGTACGTGATGTCGTACTACCAGATCTCTATTGTACTAAACTCTGTACTGCATTCTACTTCCCAGCATACACTCTTGAAGATTTTCAACTAGGAAAGAATATTAGACTCTGGATACAAGAAAATTAAAGGGAAGATAGTTAAGTAATTAAATATTGTAATGAAAAAAAATCATAAACTAGTTTGGGATGGAGACATATTCAGGTTTAACCTGATCTAGCTCTGCAGGGGACGGAGCTACCTTTTGCAAAGATTCATGAATCTCCTTCTGGAAAAAACTATACTGCGCAAATAGGATTTCTTTTTGGTACATATATTTGATAACTTTTTTTTATAATTGTGGTGTCCGGGTCAATTAGCATACATTTGTAGCAGCGTGCTTACTATCTCTCACTAGCGCAGGTATCGGATAACTTTGTCCATCAAAACTTGAACAGCTGCAGTAATTTAAATTTGAAACTCAACTCGTGCATATATGTAACAATCTTGACCTTAGTTGTGGTATTAGAATTCAATAATCACTACAAAAATCTAAGAGAAGAAATAAGTTGGTAAACTACCAACTCATGACTCTCCACTTCTTCCCCCGTTGCCTCGTTCCTCCTCCTTGTTCATCTAACTTCTCTATTTTAAGAACCTCTTCAGCTTACTCAGTTTTCAAAAACCATTTTAGAATAACCTTCAATAATTTATAAAACTATGCACAAAGTTTCAAACTTTTAGGAAATTTCTGATTTGAAAAAATGGTCAAAATATATCCAAAAAGATATTCAAATAGGGGTTATAAAAAGAAGTGTGTTTCAATAAGATAGTGAACTGGAAATTGTCCTAAATTCCTATTTTATGGTTCTAAAACATCAAAAAATGAGGAACAGTCATGGCAAAGCAATGAGTATTGTTCACTAAGTCGTTTCCGATGAGCCCACAAAACTTTAGGCGATTCGAATCCCGCCACTCGAATTCATCAAGATGGCAAATTTGAAATCGTTCTGAATTCCTGTTTTATGGACCGAAAATACCAAAAAATGAGGAACGGTCATGGCGAAGTGATGACTATTGTTTATTAGGTCGTTTTTGATAGGCTCACAAAATTTTAGACGATTCGGAGTTCGTCACCCGAATTCATAATTGGCGTGGACATTAGGACACAAAATTGAAAATCATCCTGAATTCTTTTTTTGTGGCCCTAAAACGCCAAAACATAATACTCATGCCGAAACAATAACCATAGTTTATTAGGTCGTTTCTAATGGGCCCACAAAATTTTAGGTTGTTTGGAGCCCATCGCTCTAATTCATGAAGATGATGTGAACATTAGCACACAAAAAATTTAAAAATCATCCTGAATTCTTGTTTATGTCCATAATGCCAAAAAAAATAATAATATGAAAAACGATCATTGCGAAGCAATGACTATTGTTCATTAGTCATTTCTAATGGCCCGGAAAATGTTAGCCAATTTGGAGCCCGCCACACGAATTCATGAAGATGGCTTGGACATTAGCACACGAAAAATTGGAAGTCCTCTTAAATTCTTGTTTAATGGGCCTAAAATGCCAAATACGAGGAACAAACATGGTGAAATAATAACTATAGTTTATTAGGTTGTTTTTAACGGGCCCAGTAAATTTTAGACTATTCAGAGTCCATTGCTCGAATTCATGAATATGGCGTGGATATTAGAACACGAAAAATTTGAAACCGACCTGAATTCCTGTTTTATGACCCTAAAACGCCAAGAAACGAGGAACAATCATGCCGATGCAATGAGTGTTATTCATTAGGTCATTTTTTATGGTCCCATAAAATTTTAGGCGTCACCCGAATTCATGAAGATGGTGTAGACATTAGCACACGACAAAATAGAAATCATCTCGAATTCCTATTTTATTGCCCTAAAGACTAAGAAATGAGGAACAATTATGACGAAGCAATGACTATTGTTCATTAGGTCGTTTCATATGGGTCCTAAAAAATTTTGGCGGTTCAGAACCTGTCGCTCGAATTCATGAATATGGCGTGAAAATTAACATACGAAAAATGTAAAATCGTCATGAATTCTTGTTTTATGGCTAAAATGTCAAAAAAAGGAACGGTCATAGAGAAGCGATATATTTATTAGATCGCTTCTGATGGGCCCACAAAATTATAGGCGATTCGAAGCCCGTCGCCGATTTCATGAATATGGTGTGGATATTAGCACACAAGAAATTGGAAATCGAATCTTAAATTTCTGTTTTATGGCCCTAAAATAGCAAAAGATAAGGAAAGGTCACGACGAAACAATGACTATTATTAATTAGATTATTTCTTATGGGCCCATAAAATATTAGGTGATTTGAAGCTCGTAGCTCGAATTCATGAAGATGGCATGGACATTAGCACACGAAAAATTAAAAATCGTTCCGAATTCCTGTTTTATGGCCTTAAGACGGCAAAAAACAAGGAACCCTCGTGGTGAAATGATGCCTATTGTTCATCAGATCATTTCTGATAGGTCCAAAATCTTTAAGGCGATTCGGAGCCCGTTGTCCGAATTCATGAAGATGGCATGGACCAATGCACACGACAAAATGAAAATCATCCTGAATTTCTATTTTATGGCCCTAAGATACCAAGAAATGAGGAACGGGCATAGAGAAATAATAACTATTGTCCATTAGGTCGTTTCATATGGGCCCAAAATATTTTAGGGGATTCGAAACCCGTTGCCCAAATTCATAAAGATGGCGTGAACATTAACACACGAAAAAATTAAAAATTATATAATTCCTGTTTTATGGCCCTAAAACGTCAAAAATGAGGAACGATCATGGCGAAGCAATGACTATTATTCATTAGGTCATTTCTGATGGGCCCACAAAATTTTAAGAGATGTAGAGCCCATTGCCCGAGTTCATGAAGAAGGAGTGGAGTCGTGGACATTAGCACACGAAAAATGAAAATCATTTTGAATTCAAGTTATATTGCCCTAAAATGCCAAAATCATGGCGAAACAATGGTTATTGTTCATTATGTTATTTCTATTGGGCCCACAAAAATTTAGGCTATTCAAAGTCCGTCATCCATATTCATGACAATGGTGTGGACATTAGCACACGAAAAATTTGAAATAATCCTGAATTCCCATTTTATGGCCCTAAAATACCAAAACACAAGGAATGGTCATGGAGAAGTTATGACTAGTGTTCATTAGATCGTTTCAGATAGGCCCACAAAATTTTAGACAATTCGGAACCCGTCGCCCAAATTCATGAAGATTGCATGGACTTAGCACACGAAAAATTAGAAATCATCCTAAATTATTGTTTATGGCCCTAAAACACCAAATAAAAAAGGAATGGTCATGGCGAAGCGATATCTATTATTCATTAAGTCGTTTCTGATGGGCCTACAAAATTTTAAGCGATTAGGAGGCCGTCGCCCGAATTCATGATTATGGCATGGACATTAGCACACGATTTTTTTTTTTGGATTTTTGATTTTTTTATTGGCCACACCATCTTCATGAATTCGAGCGACCAGTCCCGAATTGCCTAAAATTTTGCGAGTCCTTCAAAAACGACCCAATGAATCATAGTCTTTGCTTCGTCGTGAAAAACAGGAATTTAGCACGATTTTTTATTTTTCGTGTGCTAAAGTCCCCGCCATCTTCATGAATTTGAGTGATCGGGCCCAAATCACCAAAACTTTTGTGGGTCTATCTAAAATGGCCTGATGAACCATAGTCATTGCTTAGCCATAATCGTTCCTTATTTTGGCATTTTAGGACTATAAAACAGGAATTCAAGACGATTTCTGATTTTTTGTGTGCATTATTCCACGACATTTTCATGAATTCGGGCGACCCACCCCAAATCGCCTAAAATTTTGTGGTCCCATTAGAAACTACTCTAATGAACCATAGTCATTGTTTCGCCATGATCATTCCTCATTTTTTAGTATTTAGGGCCATAAAATAGGAATTCAAGATGATTTTCGATTTTTCGTGTGCTAATGTCCACGCCATTTTCAGGAGATCAACCTCAAATCGCCTAAAACTTTGTGGGACCATCAGAAATAACCTAATGAACCATAGTGATTATTTCTCCATGACCGTTCATCATTTTTTGGTATTTTAGGTCCATAAAATAGGAATTAAGACACAATGTTGATTTTTCTTGTGCTAATGTCCATGTCATCTTTATGAATTTGGACAACCGATCCCGAATCACCTAAAATATTATGGGCCCATCAGAAAAGATCTAATAAACCATAGTCATTACTTTGCCATGACCGTTCCTTATTTTTTGGCATTTAGGACCATAAAACAAGAAATAGTACAATTTTTTTTATTTTTTGTGTGCTAATGTCCATGCCATATTCATGAATTCGAGTGACCTGCCCCGAATCGCCAAAAATCTAGTGTTCCCATCAGAAACGACCTAATGAACCATTATCATTGTTTCGCCATGAACGTTCCTTGTTTTTTAGCGTTTTAGGATCATAAAACAGAAATTTAGCACGATTTCTGATTTTTCGTGTGCTAATATCCACGCTATCTTCATAAATTTGGGTGAACGGCCCCGAATCGCCTAAAATTTTGCGGGACCAACAGAAATGACCTAATAAACCATAATCATCGCATGTTCCTTATTTTTGGCTTCTTAGGGCAATAAAATCGGAATTCAGCACGATATCCGATTTTTCGTGTGCCAATGTCTACGCCATCGGGCGACCGAACCCGAATAGCTTAAGTTTTTTTAGGCACATAAAAAATGATCTAATGAAATATAATTATTGTTTCG